TGTCTCGCATTCCTCATCATTCTCACAAATGTCCCTTACAGGAGAACAGGACACAGGAGAATAGTTGACAGCTGGTGTCTAGGCAGCATAGCAGCGCAGCCCGGGATACCGCCCAATACACTTGCATTCCAACAACCTGACAAACAAGTGTGCTTTCCAGCCTGGGCAATTTTAGCTCTGGATCCCTTCCCATTGTTCTCATTTCTAAATTCAAGCCCTGACCCCAGGTCTCCGGATTCCTGGATTCTTGTATTCTGGTAACATACAACCATTTTGAGTACACACTGAGCCCCACAAGGCCAAGGATGGAGATGCTAGTCCTCTGAGGGCTTTGCACTCCTGAAAGGACCATGTGTGACCTTATCCATCAGCACTGTCCTGTGCCCAAGGTTGCTAGGCCCTACTGGGACCTGGGAGGGAGAAGGAAGCTGGCGGGGTGGAGGGCGGGGTGGTTACAGGGTGGTCTGAAAGACAACTGCAATGACTCCTCTATTCCCTCTGCTGCCTCCTGCATGGCTTCTTCTACAAGGAAGAATTGGGTTCACTTTGTAGATTAAATGAGGTAACTGTAAGAGCCAGTGATGGTATGCCTGGCACATAGTAGATATTCAAAACTGGCACCATCACCATTGGCTGTTCCTCCACTCCCACATGGAACATAGGCTGATTGTACTGGTCCAGCGTCCCCCTCTTCAGCCAGGTTCCCAGGCTTCCCTTGGCTCGCAGGCAAGGTGAACAAAGGGGAAGAGCACTGCTGCCCTAGGCCAGTGTAGCATAATGAATTCACTTTTCTGAATAATATGGCCATCTCGGTGCCACAATGGACTGGGCAAACTGGATAAAGGTTTTTCTGGGTTTCCAAAACTGTCTCAAAGTTAGAGAGGTCCACAAGCTGCACTAGTTGTGAAGGGGCACTTTAGGGCTTTTAAACAGTCACTAAAGAGTCATTGCAAATGGCTCATCCTAAATTTCTCAGTATAGCCATAATTTCACTACCTGGGACAGATATGTGGTGGTCAAAGTCCATATCAAGCCTGTCACAGAAATGGTTCCCATTTCTGGGTTGCAGATGGTGCTTCACAGTCTGGACACTTCTCGGAGAGAAATCACACCTCACAGAACATACTTCAGTGACAATTTGCTATGAATCATCACCCCTTCCATGTAGCTCAGAGAAGCTGAAGGAATGTCTCGGCTTCAAGGGCAGCTTGTCACAGGGCTCTCACTTAGCCAGAGACTGGCCATATGTCACCCAGCACAGTGACCACAGCGGTAAAATGTCTTCAGTACACCCTGGCTATGGGGTGGGGTTTAGGGCAGACCTGACAGCACTATGGGGACATAGCACATCAAATCAGCACTCTTTATTTACTGTATCTGTGGCCCCTTGCTCCTTCCTGCTGCCTCACATTAGAGAATGTGGGTTTGGCTATAGCTCCAACTCCAACTCTTGTCCTGTTCTCACTTCTCTAGTGGGCCAACTCATCAGTCCTCAGGCCCCTGCTATGTGTCAGGTGCTGTGATAGGCAATGTGATGTAAAAATAGGACATGTTCACACTCTTCAGAAGGTCACAGCCTAGTGGCAGGACAGCTATGGTGGGAAAGCTATGAGAGGAAAGAGATGATGCATATGGGTAAATAATCGCAATGGAGAGGAAAGAGATGATACATATGGGTAAATAATGCAGCCTGTTAAGAGGAGAGTCACGGGGTGGGTAGTCAAAAGTTATAAGCAAAGAGGGAGAGGCCTGAAGGCTCTTGTCATGTTACAAAAGCAGTAAGTGACCAGCAAACTCAGTGCAAGGTGTATGAGGGAGACAGGCCCACATGGTGGGCCGGAATGGAGTTGCTGGTCAACAAAATGTATTTTGCTAAAAATCTGGGCTGGGAAAGTGGTGCTTTCTTGCTTCTTCTTGGTGACTGGCATGGACTGAAAATGGAGTTTCTAAAAAAAAAAAAAAAAACCTAAATGCTAGAAATACAAGAACCTGTGCTGACTGCTGGTGATGTTTTCAATTCTGCATTTATTAATACCTTCCTACCTTTCCCTCTGGTTTGAGAACCATCCAAACCTTCCCCGTTAGTGGAGTGGAAGGAGCCCAAGTTAGGATGTTCAAGTTCAAATTCTAGCTTTTCTATTTATCAGCAATGAGACTTTGAGCTACTTACTCTGCTTTTTGAACCTCTGTGTATTTCATCTCAACCATGAGTATAATGCAAACTGCATCACAGCAATACTATAAATGCTAAATGACACGACAGGCTTTTATTCTCTAAAGAAGCACAGAGGACAGCAAATCTTTCTAAATGATCTCTGCTGCAGAATTCTCCTCAGTGCTCTTTGGCCACAATGGGGTCCCATGCTGCTCTTAGTTGTAAGAGAGACTGGGAAGTGAAGTCTTTGGTGACCAGCCTTTATAGTAGAGAAGAACAAGGAAGAAGGTGGTTGTGGATGGATATGGAGAGACCCAAGCCACAGAGTCTGCCATAGTAGGGTGGAGGTAGGGGGACTTGTTTGTGGAATTTTCTTTGCTCCATCATTGTTAATAAAACAACACAAGCATTCCACTTCTTAGAAAAAGATTCAGCCCATTCACATAAGTAAAACACACAAGGAATGACAACAAGAAAGAATGGAAAACAAACGTGTAAATAATGTCCAATGATCCCTACATTACAAGAGCTTTTAAAAGAAATGGCATCATATTAATTAGCTATTGCTGCATAACCAACCACCCCCAAGTCCAATGGCTTAGAATAAAATCATTTCTTATTCTGCCTCATACGTTTGTGGCTCAGCTGATCTAGGCTGGGCTGACTTATGCATCTGTGGCAGCTGAGGGCTCTGCCCTAAATGGGGCTAGGTTGGGGCATGTTAGCTGGGTAGCTCTGTTCCAAAGGTTTCTTGTCCTTCTCCTGGGATCAGCAGGTAAGCCTGGGCTTAGCCTACTCATGGCAATGGCAGAGGCTCAAGAGAGTAAACAAAAACATGTGATATCTGCTGAGGCTTAGGCTCAGGCCTGGCACACCATCATCAGCTTCATTCTTTTGGCCAAAGCAAGTCATGTGGTTAAATCCAGATATGAGGAATTATACCCTAACCACAATAGCAGGAAACTAAAAGGTGCCATGGTCATGGGGACAGATATAGGAATGGGTAGAGAACTGGAGCCATGATTGCAAATTGACCACCTGCACCAAAGGTGTTGCGAGGCATAATTGTCAGTTTAGTATCATACTCTAATCCTTCAGAAGGAAGCCATCCTATCTAATTTAGTTTGGAATTACTTAAATCACTAGAACCAAAGTTGATGGTCACACTGTCTACTCATAGTTCACTTTACATTTACGAAATCAAGAGGTGAAATTTCCAAGTGAAGATGACACCTTCAATTTTGACATGTACTTATCACATTGATTTAAAAGCTGCCCCCAAAATATCTCATGAAAACTAAACTAATGCTTCCTCTGGTTTCTCTTTTGCAGGCTTGATGTGAAGAATTGAAGAGAATGGATTCAAATGAAAATAGCTCACTAAAAATTTTATATATTTGTATGATGATTATGAACCTCCTGAATGCCTGAGACTCTAGCAGAAATGTCCTGTTTGTACATTTATATCTCTTCCTTCTAGTTGGCTGCACTTCTTACTTTAGTTTATCCTCATGTTTGGCACCTTGCAGAGCAAATAAACTCAAGAATTCACCACTTGGAAGGTGCGGTTTTGAGGAGGGATATGATTTTATGGAGAGGGATATGGTGATATGCATAACAGTGATTTTGAAATTTGGAAATTCTCTAAGCTACTTCCCATACTATTTTGGTCAATATTTGGAATGTATTTTAGTTCTTCACCTTCTACATTATGTCAATAAACTTTTTATGAGTTCAAATAAATATGTGAGTAAATATAAAATATGAATCAAGACTAAATTGATTTTCATGTCTTCAGAGAGCTAGATATTCCCTCACATGGAGAGAAATGAGATATAAGAACCAGTGAAATGCCATGTTGTCTAAGTGGGGCTTCTCATTCTGAATTATTGGGTACCATGGGTAAAACTATGCCTGACTGATCACTGCAAATGAAGTTAAATATTGCCTGAGGAACTAGGCATCATTGAAATTCCTCCTCCAAGGATGGCCTTTATGATGAGTTCATTTTACTTCCATAGAGGCTCAGAAATTCCCTTTGCTCAGATGGGATAGAGTTCATTGCAAAGCACAATAAAAATAAAGCTGAAGGACCAGATCAAAAAAGAGGGGCAGATCATACCTCGGTTGTCCTAAGAAAGATGAACCATTTCTCCTGCTGCTGAAGATGGAGAGTCTCTAAAACTTAATTAATGGCCAACATGACCATAAGCCAAAAGGAATCACCTATACCCCTCTAGGGTCTTCTGATACTCCCAGATGCTTGGGCAACTTCACAATATGAAGATTTAAGGGACCAGGTTCCCAAGACCACACTGTTTTAAAGGCAAGTGTGTTACCTACCTATCTGGTATGCAGAGACTCCAACACCATGACTTGTATCCTTGCCTCAGTGTCCGCCATTTTAAAAAAAATCAGATGTACTTCTAAACATCCTAAGCAAAAATGAGTCTTCAGCTTTTGTTTCATAGAGGTCAGTTTCCAAAAGGAGGACTATCACTGTGCACACAATGTGACTGGGTGCAAATTCAATAGGGTCTGGGGGGGTGGGTTTCAGGTTTTCCTGAACGAGTGCCCATCTGGTCATGGGTGCCAGACATCCTGCTGGGCTGTGGTTTAGCCTGGTGCTCTAAATCTAATACACACGCACAGAGCAGGGAATATCAGTCAGAACCAAATATGCCAGCCTGATCATTTGTCGGCAGAGTAGATTCTAAATAAGGGCATTGTGTTGCCTTGGGCCATTCCCTTCTTTCTTAATGAGGGGAGTTGGGCAGGATTCAAAATTTACCTCAGTGTTCTCTTTGTTTATATACAAGTGATCCATGTTCAGCTTCAAAATTAAATTCTGGTTTAATGTTATAAAAAACTGTCTTCATATTTTAATGCAGTCTCCCAAGTCAATATACAGCATAGTACAGAACAGAATCCTTAGACAAATGCAATGGATATTTTGAGAGATCTATATTTAATATGTATTTTCTGTTGTTGTTATTAAGGCTGAAATTCACTGTATGTGGGATTTAGCAAGTTCCACATTCTATCTTTTATTGGACAACACATATAGGAAAGGACAGTTTACTTTCAACGAAGCTCTAATTTAAAAAATTCAGGTTTCACGCTACATGGCTCTTTAAAAACCCATACATCACTTTGAAACAGTCTTATCTTTCTCACAGGTTTGCAAACAACCAATTATTATGCAACTTTTCCATGAGCGAAAACAAGGTACAAGTAGTTGAAGGTTCATTAGCAGAGAGAAAAAAAACTAGAAACGACACTGGTTGGAATAATTAAAGCATAAGGTACAACAGCCAGTTTTCAGTGCACGTGCTGTGAACCGCACCAACTATCTGTTACTGGGCTGACAGGTGAGAATCCCCAGGGCAGTACAACAGGCATTCCACCCACACTGCCTTCTCCGCCTTGACTCTGTGATAAGTGTGGGGAGGAGCACAGTACATTCAGCCAGACAATCAACTTGCTTAAAACACTCCCCTTCCCTTCGGCCCCCTCCCCTGCCCATATGGGATTTTCCTATGTTGTTTGAGGCATGAGTAAAAGAAGGCCCCACAGCATCCAGGATTGTGTGGGATACTTGAAAAGCTTCTCCTTCTGGAGCAGAAGCCATCTGGAACAAACAAGGCTCTCCAGAATCTTCTCAACTATCTTTTTAAATGATCTATACATTTCAAGAGTGCAGATTGGAAAATAATTAGCTTTGTTTCCAAGACTAGTAGGTAAATGACACAGAATTTTAAAAATCAGGCCCAGGGCATGGGGGACAATCTGCATCCCTCATTTTTCGCTAGAGCAGTCAGAGCAGTGGTCCCCAACCTTTTTGGCACCAGGGACTGGTGCTCCTATGAGAATCTAGTGCCTGAGGTGAAGCTGAGACGGTGATGCTAGCGCTGGGGAGTGACTACAAATACAGATGAAGATTTTAGCTCTGGGGAGCAGCTGAAATACAGATGAAGCTTCGTACTCGCTAGCCCACTTACCTCCTGCTGTGCGGCCCAGTTCCTAAAAGGCATCTGCAGCCCAGGGGTTGGGGGCCCCTGAGTTAGAGAATTTACAAAAGGCTTCCCATTATGATTAGGTCCATATAAGGATCACTACTGATTGGAATGTACCATCCTGTGAAACCTCCTCTCTTTCATGCTTGGGCTGGCCTAGAATTAGGGTCTCCCTTCTGAGATAAGACGTGGAAAGGTTCATGGGGAAGAGAACAAGGCTCATTTGGATTCAAGGACTACAGGATGATGAATAAAACTAGTTCCATTTGAAGGCATGTGGCATTATCCCATTGCTTTGCAATCTAGCTTGAAATAGAAAGTGCCTTTAACTTGGTAATTGATGCTCCCTTGGGATTTTTAACCTGATGCCGAATATATGCATCAGTGTGGCCCACAGCTAGTTCTTTGCCTCTCAGACCATTAATGAAATGTCTGTGCTTTTCCAAAAGAGAGGATTTATTGCCATAACATTCACATGGGATCACGTATTCGGTCAGCAACCCATGCTCACGGCAACCGCTAAGGGTAATGCAACCCACCAGCATGTTGCTAGGCAAAGAAAACCTTTAGAGCTCATACACTCAGTTCCTTTTATTCTCCAAGCAAATGACCAAACATGCTTAGATCCCACACTGAAGGCAAATCACACTGTCAAAAAAATATATATGCTGATTATAAAAGAGGAGATTCGACTATAAATAAGTTTACAGCCTTAACAACACCATCACCTAAAGGTTTTCTTCAGAGAAAGAAAAACAATCTCAATTAAGCAATCATTTTTAAATTCTGGGATGCACTTGGCCTCATAGCCTTCAACCCTCTGCTTGTTTATTATAGGAGAAAAATAACTCCCATAACATTTGACTTCTGTGCAAAATAATTCAGTGCCACTCCCAATAAGGAGAGACTGCACTCCGATATAACAAGGCTCTTTTTTACAACCAGATCTTCCCTGGTTCGGTGAGGGTATATTTAAGATTCATTTTCCAGATGGAAAGGGGACTTTTCCCTTGAGCTTTAGATGTCTGTAGAGCAAAAGCAGGTCTGTACTCTAAACTCTAATTTTCAAATCTGATGGAGAGTTGGGTGGAGTGATGAGGAGGGATGTATAGGCAGGAGTTTACCCTGGTGTGCGGGTTGTTTCTGGTCTTTAGACTTACAGAATGAGGGCTGTAGGTTTCTATGGAATCTATTCCTGCTCCTTAATACTGCTCATGAATCTATGGTGCACTAGACAAGACAGGGTCCGGTAGGAATTTCTGTTCAGAAGCATTTTAGAACAGACCAATGTTCAACTGAACCACCCACACAAGCCATACTGCCTATGGCTAATGACAGTCTTTAGACAAAAAACAAACAACAACAAAACCAAACAAAAACCAGAGAAGGTTTTGTGCATTATTTCTAGTTTTATTTTGTTTTGTTTTCTTTTATACTTTGTCTTCTGGCTCTGGCCACACATAGAAAGATCTTGGGCTCAGAAAATCCTCACCCTCCTCACCAACTGGAGCTGAGTTTTCCTATATTTAGTGGGAGGTGACAGACATTTGAAGAAGCCAGGGGAGACATCTTAACATCTAGGGGGCTGGATGCCAGCAAGACGTGGACATTTCTACACAGTTTTAGAACTCAGGCCTTGGTTAGTGTCCTAAAAATCATCTGCGTGGATCCAACTTTATCACAATTTCTTTAAAATGGCATGTTGCATTGATTTAATTTTGCAGGCAAGAAAATGGGCATAGCGATTTCTTGTGATTAAATAATAACAACTGTGCATAGACCACGACTCTTTAAATTTTAAACAAAAACACCCCCTCCCAATAAAAACACCCCAAACTTATTTTTTTCCAAATCTTGAAGTCATTGCCTGGCATTATGGTTGTGATAATAATGGCCAAGGAGGAGGAGGGTGAGAGCTCCCTTTGGAAGCCAGGCAAAGCACACACACATGGGGTGGGGGAATTTTGAAGGAGGAAGCAGACAGGAGAAATGTCCCTCAGTGTTCCACTGGGCTGCAAACTCTGTAGTTATATCCTGGTTAACTGCGGGAACCCCAACCCCTAGACTCAACATTTTAGCCCAATCTTATTTATTGCTTGCTTTTCTCCCTAGACTTTTCCCAACGTATTTTTCTTTACCAGCTTGGGAAAAGAACACCCCCATCTCTGTTGCTCTACAACTTTCCTGTCTGGATAACTGGACTCTGGCTGCAGATATACCAAAATGACTGTGCCATTAATTTCCTTGGAGAGTGTGCTTCCACCAGAGGCTTTACCAATATCTGCCACTCTGGAATCATTTGTTCCATTTGGCCCTGGATATAAACAATAATGCCTATTGCTGGCGGAAAATAAACCGTGGGAACTGGCATGTTTTTCAGTGCGAGGTCATCGAGAACAGTGCTGACCCATTGTATCCCCTAGAACTTTCGTTTAGAGGCCAGAGGCAATGATCTCTAACAGATGCACCATTAGGCAAGACCTACATTGGGAAGCTTTGTTGATTCAGACACTCAGTAATTAAGTTGTGGGCCAGCGAGCACATTATCTGCAATCAAACATGTCCCTGATCAGTGATTAGACAGGCAAACATGTGACTTCATTGTCTCTGCTGAAGGATGGTTATGTAACAGTCTCTCAGCCTTGGACATCATGGTTATTTGCCAACATTTGATCCCCGTAAATAAGCTGAAATCACTTGCCGTGCTTCTGGGAATCGGATTTTTAGGACAAGTGACTTCCTTGGGAGGCTT